ATGCAAGCATACATCCTCGCAAACTTGATCAATCTCTGTGAGCCTAGGTTTGCTTGAAGCTCGGAACGCCTGTGCAGCACGTTTGCCACAAAGGTCGTCAACGTCGGCATTGATCAAGCGCCTCCATTCCGGAATGTCACGTTCAGCAAAGTAGGCTGCAGTTTTGTGACTGGAGACCCAGTGTACCTTTGCCCGCTCTCGACAGTGCCAGACAGACCCCCAGGGAACCTGTCCACAAAGAGGCGGGGCAGCCTTGCTGAGTATGTGCGTGACTGCCTTACAGTCTATCGTTATGTCAAAATCATTCTCAACACGAGAGAACAATTCGAAAACCGCCTGCTGCTCAGCCGACGCAACTGTTAAAGGTTGTTCGGGAAAACACGTGACACTGGCAACCCTTATGGGAACACCTTCAACTAGTTTGTATGCTGCAATGGCCCAGGCGACACAGCTGGACCTTGGATCTTTGGCCCCTGGGCCACCAGATGCATCACTGGCATACACAAGATTGCCATCAGAAATGACACTGTGGGGGCCAGTCCACAGGCCCTCGTAAACAAAGCCAGTGGCCACACCGCGCGTGTCAAGTTGTGTGGCAGCCTTGGGGACTAAACCTCTTAACCACAAACTAGGCCAGGGAAAGAGTTCACGCTTTTTGGCGAGGTGCGGTGGCTCTGGAAACTTCTGGGAAGTGAAGGGACAGTCCCACAGAACGTGCTGCAAAGAAAGAGAGCACTTACACAACCTGCACCATCCCGGCTTGGAAGAGCCAACCAGAGCACCTTGCCAGAGGGCTTGCAAATTAACACGGGTGGACTTGTGAAAAAACCGACGTTTAAGAAGGCGCAATGGAACAGTGCGGTCAATGCCCGATGCAAGGTCATGGCAACCCTCCAGTGTTGCAATCCGCTTCAAACGCTCGCCCTCCCAAATTGGCAAAAGCCAGTGCCACACACACCGTGTAGCATCTGGGCATGTCCAGTCAACATGTAAAGTGCCTGACACATGAGTCCAAGTGGAACCCTGTTGGCATTGGACACCAAGTTCCATCAAATAGGCCTGAAGGGCCGCAATGGGCCCATTGACCTTTTTCCAAGGATGCGGTGAGGCCGAAAGCCAAAGCCAGATACTGGACCACGTACTGGAAAACTTGGCTGGATCCACACTCTGCCATCTGCGAAAGACTCTGGCCACTGCCCTCACGTGCTGCCGTAACAAGGTAAGGTGAGGGTCCTCACATCTATGGCAATGCAGCAAGAAAGTGATGTCAATGGAACCCAACTTTTGACGACCGATTTGTTTTGAACAAAGGGTTCGATACCATTTGCGCCGTTTGGGACTAACACCAGCCGCCTGATGTCCCCATAAACCGGCAGAGCAAATTGACGCTCGGACGATGCGAACTCTGTGGGATACACACTTAACACCAAGCTTGCTGAGCTTGCCTGCACGCCGCATTGCCTTGTGACGCCTTTGCTCAGCCAGACCAAGCAATCTACGGCGAGCGCCAGCAGAAGAGACCCCTAAGTCCCGGGCGATTGTTTTGACCTTGGGATCGTCGTCCGATAGCAACCGATTCAAGGCTTTGGCCGCCTCCGCCGACGATGCTACAAAAGAAGTTTTTGTTACAGAAACCTGGGCCCCTTTTGCGACAAGATCTTGCCTCAACCCCCGAAACAGTACAAGACTGTCACTGGCGACCTTTGAAGCGGATTTGTTAATTGTGTCAAGGGAAAGGTCATCGACCCATACATCTAAGTTACAAACGCTACGCTTCATCACAAGTTTAGCAAATGGGATTTTCTCGCACACGCTTCGCAGAAGCAGCCCGTAGGCTTGTCCGACATGCACAAATTAACTCCAAGTATTTTGGAGTCATCCGCATTTGCGGGCATCGCCAAATTGGCGGCAGTGGCTACTCCTACCCTGAGCTACAGGCTGCCTGACCTACCTGAGCTACTGGCAGGAGTGGGTAGCCACTTCCTGGGAGTGGGGAGCCACATCCCAGTGAAACAGGACGAAAGTCCTACAGGGAGGATACCTCACCCGGAGGGGAGGAAACCTTCACCCTGCAGAGCCTCCTGTCTCTGCACAGGAGAGGGGGGGGCTAGGAGGCCAAAAACCTCCTGACCCTCTCCTGATGCCCGGGGGTCATGAAATGGGCTTGCATATGTTTGATTGTAGGGCACCCGACCCTACAAGCGTAACAAAAAAGCCCATCCGGGCTGTTGACTGCTCGGTGGGGTCCATACGAGGGTGGTGCCACCACATCCTCTGCAAGAGCCGAATCCTCGGGGGAAGGCTCTTGAGGGGGGGGGCACCCCGTCCCTCCTGTAGACCCCGCAGCCTCGCTGAGGGAGGGCTCGCAGGCCTCGGGGACCTCTGGCTGCAGGGCCGAAGGCCCAGTAGCCATGAGGGTCCTTTCACCCTCGCGGAGTTGGTCGCCCATGGGCAACCGAAGGTCCAGGGATCGCCTCGTCTGGCCAGACCTGGAGGCAGTCCAAGCCCCCCAGCTTGAGCCTGTTGCGACACAGGCTGAGCACCTCAGAGGCAAGAGCTCGGCCAGGGCGATCCATCGCGCCTCCGGCGGTTGGCGACACTCTATGTCGAGGCGCATGAACTGAGTCGCCGCCGGGGGACATCGCCCCTGTTTCTCTTGCGCGGGGCTGCTCCTCCTCGGGAGGGTGGGGAGGAGGAGGGAGGGGAGGAGGCTCCTCGACCCTCGATGCACTGGCAGGTGGTGGGTTGCTAGGCGGAGCTTGGGGAGACGCGAGGTCTCCCTGCTCCCTCTGGGTCCCTCCTGGGCCGTAGGAGACCGGGGGGCCAGCGGGCGGGGTTTCACGCCCCGGGGGGTGAAGTGGCGCCTCCTGAGGAGCAGGATCCCGCTCGTTGGCTGCAGTAGCGGGTCCTGCGGAGGACGTGTGGAGGCCGGACCACCTGTTCCTTCCTCGACCCTGGAAGGAGAGGTTGAGCCTGTTGAGATCGGAGCCCCGGATACGGGGTCATCCTTGGTGGTGGTCTCGTCTTTGGCGGGCACCTCCTCCATGGGTGCAGCTGTAGGCACCTCGGTGGCCTCCTGGTCGGAGGGTGCCTTCACGGCACTGGGACCCGGCGCAGCAGAGGGTGGGTCAGGCTCCATCTCCTCTCCAGAGCTGCTGGGTGGGTCGTTGGCCGACGACTTTACCGCCGTCGTTTTCTGAACGATGCGGCGGGACCAGGGCAGCATCTCTTCCTGGTCTTCTGGCTCCTGAGGCTCCGTCGGTGCCGTCGGGGGGCTGCTCTCGGAGCTCTCCGTGGAGCTTGTTGAGGCTTTCACAGCCTTTGCCGCCCCTTTGCTGTTGCCGCCAGTCCGCCTGGAAGGCGGAGGGGTGCGGACTCTAGGCGGCTTGCCGTCCAGCGAGGCCTTGGGAGGGTTGGACCCATCCCTTTCGGCCTTTAGGGCCTCCCTCTGGCTGCGAGGGGGACGCTTTCGGTTCCGCACAAAGCTGGAAACCGAAACCCGCCTCGCATCGGGGTTTTTCTTGGCACGCTCGTCCACGTGCTTCCGGTAGGCCTGGACGAGGGCCTTGTCCTCCCTATGGACGGAGGGCTGTTTGCCTCGCCCTTTTGAAGGGGTGGAACGACCACGCCCTTCAGAGGAGGCGGGTGGGATGTCCCTGGACCCGCTGGCACCGGTGTCGCCAGCCTGGTCGGTCCAGTCCCACTCGTCCCACCAACCTTGCCAGTCCTGCCAGCCGGTGGTGGGACCATCAGAGCCGCCGGTATCACCACAAGCTCCCGAGTTGGAGCTGTGACCGGCGGTCTGATCTGCTGGGGGCTCGGCTGGGGGCTCCCAGAAATCAGCCCCAAACGGTTCTGGTCCGTTCCAAACCATTCGCCAGACCCATCTCCAGGAGTGGTAGCACCACCTCCTTTCCCATTCCCAGCCCATCTCGAAAAGTGAGAGGGCTAAGGCCGGGGAAGCGAGAGGTGCTCGTGGGCCAAATGGGATTTTCATTCCGGTGGCGCGAGAAGTCCACGGCCAGAGGCCTGTCCGAAGAAACCCTGAAGCATGCATTAATTAAAACTGGCTGTAGCAAAGCCAGGGCTAAGCGAGTACGCCTTGAAGGCTCCAGTACAACCAGTAGCCTCAAAGCCCTATTCAAAATCGGGTGGCTGTACAGGAAGGTGTCTGGCTCAAGTAACCTCAGGCCCCATTGGGCGAGGTAGCGGTTGAGCGACCTTCATAACTAACTCACTTAGCTCAGTTGGCGGCCAAGAAGAAAAGGAGACCGTGCAGCTGCAAACCAAAGTAGCTGCAAAACAGGTGTGTCAAGCAGGTTTACACTGTTGCAGTGCAAACAGAGGGATGGGCAGCAGGGTACACACCTGCACACACTGCACACTCTTGCACGGAAGGCCCCCCCCCCCCTGTTGACTACACGTACCCTGTACTGGCCCTGCACAAGCTTCAAGAGTACGAGCCTCAGCCCAGCTGGCGAGGCGTGGTCAGAAAACGGGGCTCCTGGGCACCGCAAGCCTCAGCCCAGCTGGCGAGGCGTAGTCCTGTACGAAACAGCGAAGCGGCAAAAGCTTTCGTGTTCCTGCTGTCAGATCTCCTGCTCCTAAAGACACACCTGAAGAGATTGATCACCTGCCAACTAGCTCTCAAAGCAAAGGCTCAAAGCAAAGGCTGGACACTCGGGCTGACCGGACCGAGGATCCTGCAGAAAACGGGCTCCTGGGCACCGCAAGCCTGCCAGAGCACGGAGAAGCGGAAGCAGGCAGGCTACGAAGCAAAGGCGATGCTGAAGTACAGTGCTTGAAAACCATTTTGCAGAGCAACAAGGCTGTCACGGCCTGCTGCGGGACCTTTGGTCCAGGTCAGTGCCCAGGCTGAGCTGCACCCTGCCACAGCCTCGGGCCCTCAGCCCTAAGGCGAGGGCCCAGGAGGCAGTGAAAAGCAAAAGTTCAGACGGCCTTCCACTCAACGGCCAGGGCAGCTTGACTCACCTAGTAGGCTAGTCACCAAGGAAAACTCCCTGCTGTAGCAGGTACCACTTGTAGTGCTGCGTAAGGAGTGGTCGTAGCCGTTGCAGCACCTCCTCAGGCGAGGCGTTGCTGACAAGCTGGAGTAGCTCCTGAAAGTGGTCTGGAACACTCCTCTTGACCGCGCTCCAGAAAGCCGAGGCACGCTGTCTGTTCGGCCAGTGTGCCCTTTGACCCTCCCATGGAAGCCAGTCTGCGGTGTCCCACATCATAATGAAGCCACGGGCATCAACACCAAAGTTGAAAAAGCCAAGATCTTTGAGATTGTAGAAACGGGAGGCCTCCGCAGTCAGTGCCATCATGTAGCGGACCATATCAAGGTCTGGCGGAGCTGGCCTCCACACCGAAAGTGGGGTGAGCCTAGACTGCCTCAAAACATGCGTGGGGATGATATCATAGCAGCTCTTCCAAGAAAGCGTGAGCAGGTGAATACCCGCATCCAAAGTGCACGGCACTATATGAGGGAGCCGTCTCCAAGCTTCCGGTTCTGGCCCGTGGCCTTGTGGCGGCGCCAACTTCAGAACGTGTTCCGAGGAGCCAGGGTCAACGTAAACTGTCCGGGACTTTCCGAAACCCAGCCGTCTCGCTCGAGCAGCTTTTGTTCGCCCACCAGTGACAAAGTCATGGTAAACTTCAAGGCTTTCCGGAAGGCACTGGTAGTGGTTCACCGGATGCTTCACCTGGGGCGCAGCTGCACATAAGAAAGTGATTAGGCCATCCTCATGAAGAAGAGGGCCAAAGTCACTTGGGCGATCTTTCAGCGCGACTGCAGGCTGTGGTGTCTCACTGCTGTCAGATTGAAGACAGTTGCTGGAGTCGTCCTGGTCCACCGGTGGCTCTTCAGCTTCTGGAAGTCGTTGCAAAGGTAAGCCTTGGCTGCTGGATGCAGCAGCGGTAGGGGGTGGAGCCCTCAGCCCTAAAGGCGAGGGCTCCTCCCGTGCTGGGCCCTGGCTGCTGGAAGCAGCCGCAGTGGAGGGAGCCCTCAGCCCTGAAGGCGAGGGCTCCTCCAAGTCGTACGGCAGCTCTTCATCTTCACGATGTCTCGCCTCCGCACGAGGTCCTGGTGGAGGTGGTGGGGGCGGCCAAGCCTCCTCAGTTCTCCTGCCAGCGTGCTCATATTGTTCGCGGCGCTTCTTCTGCTTGCGGGCTTTCTTACGGCCCCGCTGTCGGTCTATCGTCGCCGCTGATTTCCATGATAATCCCCGCTCCTCACGGCGGAGTTGCGTGGATATGTGCCGCCCTTCTTGCTTGGGCGCCATGCTTAGCTGGCCTTGGGCCTAAAAACGAAGGGTGCGCTGTGTCGGGTCAGCCTTCGGTTTTGTTTTGGGTTTGGGTCTAGCTGGGGCCTTGGGCTTCACTGGCGGAACAGCTGCTGGCATGCCTAACTGAGATCGCAAACCTACAGAAACGGACTGACCAACTGCTCCTTGCACTCCTGTGGACTGAGTGACCTCGCCTTGGCACTCCGGCAACCTTGGGGTAGCCGCTGCAGAGGAGGCGACGGGCCCAGCTGGAGGGTTGACCTGGGCAGCGCTCAAAAGGCCAAGCTTAGGAACTGCAGAAACACGCTCTGGCATAGGGCCGGCACCGAAGGTGCTGGCAGATTGAAAAGCACTGGCAATAGATCGGGTGGAGGCTCCACCAACCTGTGCCAAGGCGCAAGCCTTGGTGCCACTGTTTACTTTACGCCCTAAGCCTTTACATGCAGACTGAAGAAGGGACGAGGGCGAGACCGCGCCAAGTTTTATGCAGGCCAAACACTTGGCACACAAAAAGTGAGATCCTCGATTATGCATGTCATGGCTGGGGTGTATTTTCCAACTGGGCGGCACAGCTGCAGCAACACCACGGCACGGGTGTGTAATTTTGCGATTGAAAACATCAAGCGAATGACATTGTTCAATATATAAATTGCATTTTTCGCAATAAACCGAGAAGTTGTTGGCGGCCTTAGTCTCGCGGGCTTTCCAATCATGACCAAGTGCTGGATCAGGGGAGTCCAGCAACTGCTTCAGGCGCTGTTTTTTGTTAGGCGGCGGAACTTTAGTGCTTGCAGACACAGCTGCAGCTTGCGACCGAGGCTTGTCAAACTGGCTTAAGGAATCTCTAGCGGAGCGGGGAACAAAACCCTGGGCTTTTTCCTTGATCAGCTTCTCAGCCCTGGAGGCGAGAAAACAGTTGAGTTCCCGGGTTACCAGGTCGAGTTCCTTTACTTTGCGTACAAAATGCGGGGTGCATGCAGCAGCAGCTCGGCTCCCTGCGAGAGTGTCTGCTTTGGCATTGAGCTCGCGGCGCCAAAGCTGACCAGGGAATTCAGCCTCAAAGGCCTCAGCCGTGCAGTGGCTCCTAACCCAGTGCGGTTGAGCCCTTGCTCGCTCCTGCCAAACTGGACCCCATTCAGGGATATGTTTTTTGTTGAGAGCTCTGGCAGCCAGGGCTTTGAGAGCCGGCTTGCAATCACCTGTGAGGTCAAAGCTGCCAGTGGTGGCCTTGAGGGCTTCAATGATTGCGAGGGACTCCCCCTGAGGCACCGTGCTGCCCGGCGGAAGAAGGCCTGAGATGGTCCCGTGCTCAATAAGGCAATCAGCGCGGAGTTCGCAAAGCACGACCGACCACCCTACAGCCCTAAGGCGAGGGTCGTGGGTATTGGGACCTCCGCTAGCATCAGTACCTATGAGGAGCCCAGTGACATCAACCGGCTGATGGCAAAACAGCCCTGTCACCCTGGTTTCCAAAGCTGAGGCCGAGACCTGCGGGGTCGTCCAAGCCTTTGGGACCATTCCTCGTAGCCAGAAGCAGGGGTCTGGGTGTTTGCGCTGAAAACTACGGAGAGCCGGGCTTAACTTAGCAGGCGCAAGCGGGCACTCATAGTAGACATGGTGCAGGGTATTCTCAGCCCCGCATGCGCAATGCGAAAACCCCCCGTTCCCAGCGTGCAAGGTGCGTCCTTGCCACACGGCGTGAAAGGCCCATCGCGGGGATGAAAGCTTGGAAACCTTCAAGAGCTTTCGGTGGACTGACCAGTCAACTCCTTGCTGGGCACCTTGGGCCGTGAGGACTGCACCAAAGCGGGAAGCCCTTTCAAGGGCAACAACCTGAGTGAGAAAGCGGCGAACTGACAGGAAAAGGCCAGGGTTGGTGACATCAAGCAGAAGAACCCCGCTGCTATGAACCCAGCGCAGAGGATCACTGACATTGATGCGCAAATCAATACAATACTGCACCATAGCAGCAACCGGGCCTGCAACACACTTCCATCCATGCACGGCCGCCTCTTGGCGAGTCCAGGCCACCTTCCAGGTGCGGGCTAGGATTTCCCAGCCTTGTGCCGTGGAGGGGCCGAACATTTTATACAAAGCATCAGCCTGCGCAAGGACAACTGTCAACAATGGGTCTTGGCAACGAAAGGACATACAGTCCAGAGACACGTCGACAGAGCCCCACTTGGACCGCCCAACATGCCTGGAGATGGATGCGCGAACGACCTTGAGCCTTTTGGGGGACAAGCCCTGTCCCTGGCAACCATAGATCTCGGCCGTAAGAATGGAAGTGGCATACAACCTGTGGGCTTTGCAGCCTGTGCCAAGTTGGTGAAGTTTCTGGTTTCGGGCGCGGCCGACCTTGAAGCGTTTCAAAGCTTGCGTAACCCTTCTGCGCTTGGCACCTGCCGAGTCCAGTCCAAGGTCCCGGACCAAGTCAGCAACCTGAGGATCGCCTTCAACACGCATACTGTTGAGTGCTTTGGCCGCCTTGGCACTATTGACAACAAACTTGGTTTTGGTTTTGTTAATGCAAAGCTTCTCAACGGAAAGCAGGGCCTCCAATTTCCTGGAGGCCGACAGGGCCAAAGAGGCCGCAACCTCCGGGTCAGCATGAGACACATCGACACTGATGTCATCAAGCCATAAATCAGCATGGCTGACCCCACGGTGCTGGGAGATGCCCTGCAGCGGAGCATGAGTGGTGAGTTTTGCAACCGTGGGTGCGTACGGGCACCCCTGAAGGATGCCCCTCTGGGGCCACAAAGCAACAGTGCTGACCCCCTCGCCATGGAGACAACGAGGCCCATTGTAAAGCTGAAGACTAAGTTCCAAAAGCAAAGGTGGAAATGACAAAGCTTTGCCCTGTGATATCAGTCGAGAAAAATCTACCCCATCATAGAAACCTTCAAGATCAACGAACAAAGTTATGAAAGTAACTTTGCGAAATTTATGATCTTCTGCCTTGATCAAGCGAGAAAGTGCTGGGTCAAGGGAAGTGTGTCCTGGGGTGGCGGAGTCGAAAGGGGCAAAGGCCGCGTACTCCTTTAACCAGCTCTCCAGGAGCGGGCGTCGCAGCTTGCTGTACACTCGCCAAAGGACCGATGTGAGAGATATGGGGCGCTCTTTTTCTGGGGTTTTTGCAAGAAGGGCGACCTGCACCGTAAGCATTTGAAGCGGCAAAGTAAGGTCCGTCTCAGCAAGACGAAAGAGCCCCGCAAGCTGTCGGTAGCAGAAGTCAGGGAGGTTACGCAGAGCCTTGTACGACCAACCATCAAGGCCTCCCTTCTTGTTGCCCGTGGCCAGGCACGCTGTCTTGACCTGCTCCCAAGATAGCGGTGACAGATCCTGCGCCTGCTGCAGGGCCTCAGCCCTTAAGGCGAGGCGCTCTGCAGACAGGTGAGGCTGCGGCGGCACAATTGACGCATCCCAGATGCGGCTCCAGAACTCCATGCGACAGTAAGCCCGGGCAAGGGCCGACTGGTCCCGAAAGGGCCGGGCGAGAGTCTGTTCGTGGCTTTTAAGAGCACGATACACCGGCCCCATGCCAGCCGACAGGGCTCCAAACAGCCATTGTTGATATGACTCCGCCTGCGCTCCCTGCTGAGCGGTCTTAGCAAGCTTGGCCTGCGCCTCAGCATGGGACCTCAGGGCAGCGAGGTCACGATGATTTGAAACAGTGTCCCGGGCTTCGTCTGCCCATTGATGATGCTCAGGGCCGAGCTTGGAGAGCAGGGAAAGGGTTTCATTGGGCGGCCCCCCAGCCTTGAACCGGCCTGCGAGCTGGGACCAGACAGCGTGCTCGTGACCAAACCACTGGTAGTCATTGGGGGGTTGCGACACGGCCGGCTGACGAATCGTCGGCAAGTTTACCCCCCTGCCCATGGTCCTACCGAGTAAACCTGAGGCCTCAGCGGTGGCAGAAAACTCCGCAAAGGCGAGGGAGGCGGGGTCACAAGCCTCGATTTCCAGGAGGGTGACCCTCTGCGGTGACACAACCGGGGGTTGCAAATTGCGCTGGTCGTCAAGAATAGGGTCAAAGGAGTCAGTGATGGAGCGCAAATTTGGCTGGAGGTCCTGCAAAGACTTAAGAGGAAGGGTGCACTTAAGCGCCGCATGGGGCTTAAAGGGAACATCCCAGGCAAGCTCAAGCGAAAGATGCGAGGCCAACCGGGGGTGGACCAGTGCATAGTCCAGCTCGGCTGCGGTGCCTGCAGTAGGCATCCCAGTGCCAAGTAACCGACCCTTTGTGAGGTCCTCGAGCCTGGTGGCGAGGACCTCACAAGCATCTAGGTTCCAGTCTCCAACCACGCACCACGGGCACTTGAGCGAGGCAATCACTGCATACATATTGGACAGGACTAAGGTATTGGCCCGGCCTTCAAAAGTGCTGCCTGATTCAAGATACAGCGACAAGAGGGCTAGGTCGAAACCCGTCACCCGAATAGCGATAGCTACGAAACCACAGCCCGTTTCAGGATCCTGAAAAGTGTGAACGTGTCTGGCCTGCAAATGCGACTTAACACACACCATCACACCCCCAATCTCCCGCTTGCGAACAGGGGAATGCTGGCCATGGACATGGTAGCCTGCCTTGGCGAGGGCCACCGTTTCAGCATGAAAGGCCCTCTCCGAAAGGTGGTGCTCCTGAATCAAGGCCACATCAAACTGGTGAAAGACCAGCCACTGCCTAAGTTCAGGTCTCCAGGAAGTCACATTTGCCGAGACAAACTTGAAAGTACGAGGCTGACCCGAGGAAAAGGAGTGAACTAAGTCCTCAGAAGCACGAGCGATGCGGGCCCAGGTCTCAAGGCTGTGATCCTGAATCTCGGTGGCCTCCAAAGACTTAAAAAGGACCCAGTGTTCCAAGGTGCCCTCCTGGCATTGCTCCTCAAGCCCTTCGCCGAGGTGCAAAAGGTCAGGCTCCTGGTTCCAGGCAGGATGCAAAGCTTTATATGCACTCAAGTTTAGCATGCAGCCCCAGCTGGGTGGACTAGACCCTGGCTCACCCTGGAACACCTCAAATGGGCTCGGCGGAATTGTGGATTTTGAGTATTTAACGGACAATTCGGCCGACCCTGTTGAGTGGATCGGCGGAATTGTGGAATTTGAAGGGTTAACGGACAATTCGGCCGACCCTGTTGACTGGATTGCAGAATCATAGTGGGAACCGTGTCGTTCCAAAAAGGGCATGATCGGTCCACGACACAACAAAGGTTTCTTGCGGTCCCATGGTTCATGTGGCTTGCAGTCAGCTGGCTCAGAGAAAATGGCAGAGTGGAAAAACTTGGGTCCAGTCAGTGGGCAGCTAGAGGGGGGGCACACGGGTCGTCCCACAACCTTGGGATAAGCAAACCCCTCAGCTAGCTGCTCTGGCTGGTCAAACAGAGTCGGCAGGAGCCTCGAACCCTGAGGTGAGGCTCCGACCAGGCTCACGTCAGCACGACAAATGCTGGCCCGAGCCTCAGTTGGTGAAGATCGAACATGGATTCCGGCACTGCAGCTGCAAATCTGGACTCCCACGGCTGTTGGCACGAACGGGAGGCCACAGTACCAGCACTTGAAATAGGGCACAGGTGACGCGTCAGGGCTTGCGCTAGGCTCCGAAATTTCCAAGTCACGCAAAACCTCACTCAGAGAAAGAACCGGAAGACAAAACCCAGAACCCTGGCGCAACCCCCCACCGAGACCCTAAATATCATCGGATTTTTCGCCTGCACGCTTGGGCGACCGGCTGCGCTCCTTGACTGGCTGGCTGGTCGGCCCTTTGGCATCTTCGGCTTCCTTGTTGGCCTCAGTGACATGGGCCGCCGAGCGCAACTGAGGAGCCAATCCCGGCGGGAATTGCTCCTGCTGCTGGGTCTTGCGGCGCTTGGCCTCGTCTGCGTTTTCCTTCTTGAGAGCTTCGAGACTGCGCTTTTGGGCCTCCGTAAGGGCCTCTTCCTGAATCCCCAGGGCCTGCAACACAGACTCGACTCCATGGTTGGCCTCTTCATTGCACTGCGTGAGAACCTTGGTTTCATACTCCTGAGTGGCTTTATTGACCTCAGTCTGTGCCTCCTGGATGGAGGTCTGCAAATCTTGCATCTTCGTCAGCATGGCCCTAAGGTTTGCCTTGGCCAGGTCAATGTCTTCCTGCAGCTTCAGCTTGCGCTGGCCAAGGTCGCGCAACTTACCGACGGAGTTGCGCCACTCAACACCTGCAGCCTTGCCTTCCTGCACTGGGTTAGGGACCGGTGCTGCTGGCAGAGCATCCAGGACTTCCTGGGGGAGATCCTCACGGTTGCGCTGCAAAAGGCTGAGTAGGTCAACATCTTCCTGCTTCGGGGCCGGCACTTTAAAGCCAGCCTGCTCAAACTGCAAACGCACATCTGCAGGCAAGGTGGACCACACCTTCTGAAGGCAGCTTGCTAGCTTAGCTGGCTTCGGCTGCCGAGTTCGAGGTCGCGGCCTGCTAGGTTCTCTCCAAGGTGCCTGCGGTACATCAGCGGGCCAAGGCTTGCCACACCAACTGCACTTTGCAAACTTCTGCACTTTAGAGGCATAAATCCAGCTTGCAGGACCACAGGTTTTGCACACATAGTACCTACCTCCTGCCATGACTGTTCTCTCAGCCCATGAGGCGAGTGAACAGCCCTCAGCCCTGGAGGCGAGGGCCGGCACCTGCACGCTGGAAAGTGACTGGCAAAATGCCAGCACTGCACAAGTATGGCTCGCGAAAGGATAAGCGGGGATTCCTGTTTGAGTCCTGTTGCCCCAACGACAGTTAAGGCCCAGAGGCTCAGTTGAAAACAGCTACGCTCCCTACGCAGAACACCCACCTCTGAAAGCAGGGCTCGAGCCAGACTTGAGCCAAAATGGCTACGGCAAATGGGATTTTCTCGTCGTGGGCGAACAAGTCGCTGCCAGGCCATCGGCCGGCGGTTTGGGTGAAACAGGCGGTTTGGTTTTGCCCACCTTTGGTGGGTTCTACTCACCAGTGGCTTCCACTGGGCTGGAAGAGCTTTGTCAGTAGCACCAGCCTTTTGAGCTACACCAGCTGGGCTGGTTACTACTGGCACCAGTTCTGTAGGCCGTGGTGACTGGTTTGGTCCTACAGCTGGAGCTCTTTGGCCCAGACACCAGCTGGGCTGGTTGCTACGAGCACCAGTTGCCTGGTTTTCACCAGCAGGGCTGGTACTGGTAGCACCAGTTTGGAGTTGTTCAGGCCTTAGCCTGGGCTCTCAGTCCCTATGGAAAGGGGAGGATAAGCCACGTTTTTCCCCGTACCAGGTCGTGCCGGTACTCGTCCGGGAGGAGGGGCTGGCCCAACAAACCCTCCGGCGTTACCGCCAAAACGCTGGTATCCACCAGCACTTTCATGAGGGACTCAAAGTCCGGCTTGGAGAGCTTGGTCTTCGCCAGCTCTTTAAGAGCAACCGTGGTGCTCTCAAGCGACGTGTGATGCTTTATCACTGTCAGCTTTAGCTCAGCCCTCAAGGGGTCGTCGATGGATTTCCAGAACCCAGTGAGGCGCTGGACGTTTGGCCACTGGGGTCTGGTTCCCTCAGGGTAAGGGACCCACCCCAGCACGTCCAGCATCACCATCTCCGGTACAGCCTGTCCTGGTTGTGTGAACCTCAGGCCCATCTTGGCCTTCCCTATGTCCTTCACCAGGAGGATCTTCGCCAGGAGGGCCACCGTGAAACAGGCCTGGAAGGCTTGAAAGGTGCTGAGCTGTGCCGGTATTGGGTGCACCGCCTCCATCTCGATGAGGGTGACCCATTTGGGCTCCTGGTCTGCACCAGGTCCTCTTTCACAGAGCTGGTGAACACCAGCTTGCTTGGCGAGGCCTGGAGTCATGGCCCCCGTGACCTTGCACACCAAGACTTCTTGGTCTTGGGGGTATACCGACAGTTTCCATACGACCCCCGGCTTGTGGGGTGTGAACGTGACCACTCGTGAGCCACCAAGGCCAACTATCACCAGGCCGAGCCTGGTTACCCCTGAGACCTCCGTGCTGAAGTATTCAACTTCACATGCCTCAGCATAGCGGCTGTGGCATGGTTTCACGTTCTTTTTCATGGAGATGAAGAATTTCATCGTTTGGCCATAGTCCGGGTCTGGACCGGTAATGCCTGGCCCCGGGGGGAGCTCACGTTTCCTTTTGGGCTCTTCTGAGCTGCTCCCTTCCGGGGTACCCACCGGAGCTGGTGGGCTTGCCTCCTCTAGGCTTTCAGAGTCTTTCTTCTCCTCCTTTAC